GATGCCAGATAAAAATGGCAAATCTGCTCAAGACTTCTGGTTACCTTTAAGGATGAAGAGAGGAATTAATTCAGCCTGCTCCTCTGTTCCTCCTTGCTCATTACCCAGATGTTCTTGATGATGATTGCCCAGTGCTGCTGCATGTCATATGGATTTTGGTTTGAGATTCATTTACGTTTTAATTCTGTGTTTGGTCCTGTTGTGTGGACACCAATTCAGATTTTGAACAGGACTAGATAAATTTATGTTTTTGAACATCTGAAGGACTAATATTCCAGTTTTATTTTAACATACATTTTACTTACAATTTTTCTTAATACACACACCCCTTTCAAACCAACCTACACCCCTTATTGCCACTTCAAAATCTTTGCTGATATGATAATGGCAAATAAAGGCTTAAGGGTATAATCACCCCCCAGTCTGTTGACACCACGAAGTGCTCATAGAATCATGGAATAGCTTGGGTTGGAAGGGACCTTCAAAGGTCATCTTGTCCAACCCCCCTGCAATGAGTAGGCGATGTCTGGTCTAATTAAGACCTAATAATGAGCTACGTTAAGATACAGAACAACATGAAGCAAGTCAGGAAAACTGAAAGAAAGAGTTTTACCTCTTGCAACTCAGACTTCTTAACTGGCCAATCAAGTGCAAGAGACAAGATCTGCTTTGACAAAACAACTTTTGCATCTCCAAAAAAGTGACACCCAAATTTAAACTGTTTAAAGGAGTGTCAGATCCTTCTCTTAAACAGAGCAGTAGCAAATACCTGACTAGCAGGAGCAAGTTGAATAGACCAGAAGCAAATAAAAGGCTGGACCAGTTAGCTAAATATTACTGTGTCCCCAAAACTGGCTGCATGCTTCCTACCTCTGGCACCAGGGTTTCCCTAGGAGCTCAGAGGTGTAAGGTGAGTCAGTTCAGTTCACTGATCTGACCGAGATCTAAATGGATGGCAGGGTGGGGAAAAAAAGTCCCATTTCACATTTAATATTCATGCAAGTAGATGATGTGCTTTCTTTCATCTGTATCTATTATGAATACCTGGAAGTGTGTCAGCTAGTCATGGTGCTTTAAACAGATATTTTTACTACCATTTTCTCTTGCAATAAGTAAAGGGTGAGTTCAAAGTAAATGACTATTAATGAGGCATCTCTTACCCAACCATGTAACAAATCTATAAATTGGGACATCTAGATGTAATAACTCCTGCTAACCAGTATGTTCTTTGATGAACCCAAACAATAGAAAACTGTTTCCCCACAGAAATAGCATACACTGGTTCAGGAGCAGATATCACAGAGGCTGGGAGCAACAACAGCCTCCCAAGGAAGTAGTGAGAACAAGAGGGTTTGCTAACAGCCAGCAAGGTGTGGGCACCACATCTGAACCGCAGATATGCTAAGCAAAATTAGCATGATCATAGAAATATTTCATTAGAAAAACATTATTCTCTCTTCCCTGGATAGATCACAGCACTGACAGCCAAAACACCACTCCTAGTTGCCTGATATCAGTAATTGCTACCTAGTGGACACAACTACACATATTACAATGAATTTGCCATTAAGACTTTTTAGCTGTGTTTTCTTCCAGCAGTAAGATATACCAATGATATATAACACATGCTGCTAGGCTTAGTTCTCATTTGAAATTGAAGGATAAACCACCAAAACCTAAGAAGATAGCAAACTAAAAGAACCAGTTTTCTGTAAGAAAGAATAGAAAAACAGGTTGTGACAAAACGTTGTGCTTGATACAGAGAGGCAAATTCAAATATTGGGATATCAGTTTGAATTTTATCAGATTCCTACAGCAATGGCTACAACATAGCATAAGTTACCAAATCTTACAACTAAAATCAGGATCTTAGCGTTAATAAAAGAAATTATTTCAGAGTTAAACTTCCTTTGAACATTTAGGGAAATAAAGATGTTGCCATAATTTATTTTCTTTCTGGTTGCACAGTCAGATCTTAGTGCAGGGCTGTTTAAAAAATATATTCATTTTTCCAAGTAACTGCATTCTTTAAGCCATGGTTAAATGAAACTTTTACAAGAATATAGCTGTGAAAATGTTTAAATCATCATTTAAGAAGTATGGGTACTGTGACTCATTCTGCTGTAGCATGATACCTAAACTTACATTTGATGTGTGTTCTGTTTCCAGTGACTAAAAAAAATTCTGTACATAGTTCACTTATAGTAATTTGACTCTTAAAATTACTTCACCCACTGTTTCATTATCATTGTATTTAAATTCAAATCCTAATACGGGCTCAAGACTGAAACAAACATCAGTGTACATACATTTACACTCTAGAATCTGTACGTGTCTACGTAAGTTTTCAGTCCCAGTATATCAATTTTATTCCTTGCATTTTCATAGAAGGGCACAAAATGTCTTACGTAAAATACCCAAAGTGGTAAACCTGGCAAATGTGGTCCCCAAAGAGGTAAAACCAATTGAGATGTACCCACAGTGGCCAGTTCCAAAGCACAGTAACAGTCTATAAAATAGCCACATCAACAATTAAGTAATTTAAACCAGAGGGAAGTCTGATTGTCTCAAGATTTGGTAAAACTGTGTTACTAAAATAGCCTTACCGATAGATAAAAAGCCCAAACCAACCAAATAAACAGGAAGAGCCTTTCAAATCAAGGCAAGGGATTTCACCTTGACTAAACGGCCAGTGAAGATGTAGACTCAGGCAGGAATGAAGGGCTGGATCCCCACCATCTCACAGTAGGTGGGCAAAGGATAGTCTTACATATAATACAGGTTTCAGATTATATGGGCCACAAAATTACACTTTTGCCTTCAACTGCTACCTCCTCCGGCTCTGTTGTAAAACGCAGACATACCCCAGCTATGTTTTTGTGCTTTAGATGTATTCCCTTTTTCATGCAAACTCAATCACACAATCTGATTTCAGTGTAACTAAAATAGTGGTTGGCCGAAATTAAAAGCTCTTCCTTTGACTTTCTGCGTTAACCATGGGGAAACCACGTGACTTGCTTTCTGAGGTATAAAAACACTAGCCAAAAATAAGGCTGCTACAAACTGAGGCTATGCAGGCTTAATGGAGGTGTGGCTTTTTATTGCTTGATTCCCTGGACCCCTGTGATAGCTCTCCAGGGGAGAGCAATATAATAAAAAGGGTAAGCTGATACGGCCCTTTAGAATAACAATCTTCTTAATTGCTTTATGCATCTCTTCTGTGGACTCGCCTCAGGGGAGCACACCCTGTTGGCAAACAGCAGGTTCTGTAATACAGGTATTGAACGACAATTCCAAAGTGCACCAACTTGCGTGTGCCTGGCAGAGCCCGGCTGATCCTTTATCAGCTCAGCATAGGGGTGATAAGGTTATTTACTGTCATCATCCTGTGGCGCAGCAAGGTTAGTTGTAGCTAATTCCAAAGCATATTCCTGCAAATCAGATGGAGTGTTGAGACCATGTTAAGCGTGGGGCATGAGCAGCTCTGAATATCCTTCTGAGCTAACAAAACTTCTGACCTGGTGCCAGGTGCATTCCTGTTTAGAATCTTGAAACCCTTCAAGATGGGGAGTATCTTTCCTGGGATGCTGGGGACCACAGGGACATTATTGTCACAAACTGAAAGGTACAGCATGACGTCTTTGGTGCTCTCTTTTTGGGAAGGATTTGGTGACAAGCAAAAATTATACCTTTGTCATTATGACAAAGACTCACTGTTCTTCCCATTGCGCTAAAATAAACCAGCTAAGTCGGCACAGTTGGGTTTCAGATTCCAGGGGACAGTGAGTCTCACTTGGTAGAAACCGCTTTTTATCTCACAGGCTGGCTGACATGGACAGTATCAGTTTGTGACACAATGATTCTGTTTAGGTTTTCTGGTGTTTGTGAACTGGCCTGTAAAGTCTGTTTGCTTCAAAAAGCAGTCACTCCAGAGCTTGTGAGACGCATAGCTTCCTCAGTCTCATAAAGTACAGAGCTAGAAGCTCGCCATTGTGATATGAGGTTTTTTTTAGCTACAGTGTTCAAATTAAGATAATCTGTGAGAAATCCAGGAACACCTAAGTTTATAAACAGTTGACACCATCAGATTAATCAAGGGTCAAAGGAGGGAGATAACTACACTAGAAAGTGATTAGAAGTGGTATTGCAGGATAAGGATAATCTGATATAGTTGAAATGCTGGTTTATACAGTTTGCACAGATGCCTCAAACACAACAAATAATTTACAAAAACCAGCCTGTCAAACACTGACACCACTGTCCTTCAGAAGAGTAGCCACAAGGGTAAGGTCCTTTTGAAAGAGGACATTGTCAAATAGACTCTCACACATACTTTTTCCCAGTGTGGTTCTACTGCTAAAAGCCAGGAAGTACAAAACTTCTCTTCTGGGCTTAGCATAATAACTGACTAGATGACTAATGGCTGGAATACATTTGCACTGCTCACTCCTCCTGATGACCCTGCAGGGCTGCAGCCACTGAGATGACTGGATTCTGCACTGGGGTGGTAGGCAGCTGGCTGCTATCTCTACCTTCTTCAGCCTTGATGCACTAAATGTATTTTAAAGGGAAGAAGACAAAGGTCTTCTCTTTTCATGATGAGTCCTTATGAGACTGAAGACAGCATTTCTTTTGTTCACTTTGAGACTGAGAAACTATTTCATTGGTGCTTCTCCCTGGATCTGGGAGAAAGTCTACTCAGAATTACAGTTAAGATGACCGTCAGGATCTGTGTCTGCATAGGTAGCAGAAAAAGTTATGCCTACTGTTCTGAGAGCCAGAAATAACAAAATAAACGTTTTAATTTTCCAATAAAGTAAGACCTGTAACTGAGTAGTGAAAGACCCCTTAGTTCTTGCAAGCAGGCATTTTATGCCCTAGTGTGTACATTAGTTGAATTCTGAAAGATTTTTGCATCCTTGCACCATAGTTCAGTATCAAATGTTGTGTACACTCTTTGCTCGTAAAAATATTTTCCTCAATTTTTCTTTTTCTTTCAGACCCAAAGTACTTAGAAGAGCAAATTTGGTTGAGGAACAGGGAAAAATTCTCTCAGTAAGGATAAACAGAGAAAAATAGGCTGCTAAGAGAGGTAGGCTGCTAAATTCACCAAGAGCTCACAAAAGAACATAAGGATTATTTTTCTTATTTTGCAATAGCCTGCTGGTTTGCAAGTCCATTCATCTTTGTTCTTTTATGTCACTACACCTTCCCCAAAATATAGATATATGTATGTATTTCATATGTTCAGAGTTAATATGAGCTAATCAAAATCTTTCCCATAAGGAATCTTTGATCTAGTCCTTTATTGTGTTGATACTGTGATAGAGCAGACACCCATAGACAAACCTGTGCCATTTCTCATATTGTGCCTATTACATAGCTTTTTAACCTCCAACTTTGAAAAGGAGTCACATGTGGTGATGTGGGAGTACAGTGAATCTGTATCAGTCAGGCAGAATTACTAGTCCAAGGGGTTTTGTTGTTTGTTAAAATGCATGGACTCTTTCCCACCCAGCTTAGTGCTGTTTGGTTTTACGTGATGTCAGGGACAATCTTCCCAATAAATAATAAATACTTAGTGAACTCTTACAGATTAGATGTGTCAGCTTCAAGATGCTTGAACATTTTGAAGTAGAATAGGAAGAATCAAACCGTGTGTCTCAAAAGACAGCTTGGATCACCAAAAGTGGCAACGCAGAGCCTGTAACTTCCTTGACAATTTCTCTGGTGGCTTTCAACCTTTTTACCTCTGAAGGAGTCTCCCAAATTGCACAGATTAATGTGAGAAATCCTGCAGCTGAGTTGCTGTGTTTGCGCAAACCCCAGAGAAGCAGGGGCACCTGACTCCTGCCTGCTGCAGACAGTGATGGATGTCCCCGAGCAGCGCTGGGTTCAAGTGCTGGGATTCCTGGCGCACAGACCGTGCACTGCTCTTCTCTCAGATGCCGTATCAAGAGCTAATGTGGCGACAAGGCGCGCCAATCCCTAAGGTTCAGTGTCTGGTAGTTAGACTCATTACAATTAGTCAACTTGATATATTGTTTACAATTTACACCAAACAAGCTTGGGGCTAATTATGACTTAGCTAGTTTGTCTCTTTGATGTCAAGGTCCTCTGCAGGAGGCCCAGCTAGTGAACAGCAACTACGTTTAGTCTCAAGCTCAGGTACACAGAATCAACATGGCCTTCAAATTCAACTGTAGCTTAATGTCCTCAGACGTTAAGAATTATATTAGCATAGCTGGTAAGCCATAGATTTCTTTCTATAGCCTCTTAAAACACTTGCTATCCAGGAAAGCAGTGATTAAGAAAAAAGCCCCACAGCTGTGAATTTCAGACATTGCTTATGTACATTCAGACACAGCAAGACTTAATCCACACAAAATGCAATGAAAATGTGCCAAATACCATGTCTTTGCACTGAAATTTATGGATTGCATTTCTGGTTGAAACTGCATTATTATGAAAGCTAAAACATAAACAAACGATAGATGGTTTGACCCTTTCACATAGAATTGTAGGTTTACTTTACAACTGTGCTGCTAACAAAAGCAATGTGATCAGACATGCCAATGTATTTGTTCTACAATTTCAAATCACAGAAATTAATTAATAAAGTTTTTAAGGCAGAAACTAGATTTAGTCAGAAGTCAAATTAGAAAGTAAAAGGTTTTCAGTGGAACATAGTGCTCCTTTCCTCACTGAGAATACTGAGCCACAAAAATTCCCTTTGCTGTGGACACCACTGTCAGATCATTGACCTTGACTCTCACCCTCACCTTTGGCACTGGGTGCATAATTCACATTAGAACCGATTATCCCATCAACATGCCCACAGTGGCAAGAAGAGTTGTGGTAAGAAAGTCAAGCATCATATAAGCTCTCTTAAGAACTCCTAGATCGAATTTGTACATTTTGTAGCTACAAGATTGGTTTGATACACTTAATTTTTGCAGCTCAGCCCAGGAAAAAGCTTCATATTTCTTTGGATTTGGTAGCAGTAATAAAAAAGTTGCAGCTTGGTTTTAGCTGACAACTGTGGTGGTGAATCACAAGACAAAACAGCATTCCTTTTGTTCTTGCATACTTGGATGGAGTCTTCTGTTCCTCTCACAGAAGTCAGAATGTATGTCTATTCCCACAGTAAGGCAATATGCTGGAGTTTGGGTTTATTCACTGATTTGTGGTTTACAGCTCCAACCACTCAGATTACAGGAACATTTAAAACCTATAATCAGAATATTTATTTTCACAACACCTACCCTTACAGAATCAGTTTTGAACAAAACCAGAAAAGCTCCCAGCCTTGGCCTAAAAGACATTTGGGTGACAACCGTCACCAGTTGGGAAGGGTCAAGGGAATGAAAACAGTGGAAAAAATGCCCTACCTCTGCCTGAACAGCTAACTAAAACCCAACAAATAACTTAGGATTTCCCTAATTTTATTTTTTATTAATCAGTACACATTTTAAGAAAAATGGGTGAAAATAGGTTTTAGAAACAAACGCTGAATAGTTGGAATTTTACAGCCACTCTGTATCCTTTTACCTCTCTGTTTTTTTTTTTCTGTAATTACAGCAAAATCTGTTTTAACTACTAAGGCAAAATGACATTAATAGCTGGGATAAAAATTGTGGTCATGAAAAACATTAAAATAACAGTGGGTAGTCAGACAAAGTGATGCCTGTAAATGTTACCTTTTCTTGTCTGTCTCTAAAAAAACACTTGTGAGTTACACTGATGAGGGAGAATCCCAGGTAAAATCCCTGGGGAAAAAAAAAAAAAATCCACGCCTAAAGTGAAATTAACCCAATTTTGCAGACCTTACTTTCAGAAGATATTTCAGTTTATCCTTTCAAGTGTTAAAAGATGAGGTATGCCCCAAACTCGCACTCTGAAACTGATGCAAACTTTTCCCACCAGTTCAGGTATCCAGTCAGCTTATCCACAGAGAGGGGAAATAACTATGACTTTCAGACCTACAGTTTGCATTAATCCATTTCTGCTACACAGAGAAACCTGCAAACTTAGACACCCATACCTGAGAAAGTCACAACTAGCTTCCTCATGAGATTTTAAGATACAAAAAGAGTTTTCTACTGGATCCCTTTGGAGAACAGCACACTGGGTCGAATTCTTCACAGGGACAAAACTGAAGTCTTCCTGAAACCTCATGTGCATATCTGAGAAGATAACTGCAGCCACAGCAATTATTTTCAATATTGAAAGAAATTTAATGGAAAGCTTACTAGTTACAGATGGGATTTTGTGTTTCTTTTGAAGCTGAGGGACCATTGTTGTGCAGCTATGGCTGCTGTTATCTGCTATGTTTATTCCACTTGAAAATCTCTGACCTCTGCATTCCCTGTGTCATAAAAAGAACAAAGCAGTGAAAATTGATTAATAAAAGTCTTCAACTCTACTAGCAAAGCAGCAATGAGCACCACAGAACTTGAGTTGAAGAGTATGTTCTCCGAGACTAAACACCTCTTCTTTCTAGTCTTTGGACACACACAAACCTGTTCCTCTCTCCCTGCACTGAGTAAATTCACCTGGCCAGCTAGTAGCAAAATTGTATTTCTGTCCCTCCTGCGACAGAAGGATAAGGTTAAGGGAATGTTATAATGCCTTTATAACATAAAAACCAGTGGCAAATCTGAACCACCTGAGTTCTGTCTTTGCAAGACAATGATAAATGTCCACTTGAAGTGCAAAGATCAAGTGCTAGGAGAGCAAGGTCAGATGCTTTACATGACATCTAATGTGACTGTCATTTCTCAGGCTCAGTAGCCAATGGAAATGTGGCGACAGAATGAACCAATCACTAAGGTACCATGTCTGGCATTTAAATAGAGTGCAGTAATTCCAGCAGTGCCAAATGATTGGAGATCTAATTGCCATTGTCTAGTGAATTCCTCTGTGGCGTGGCATGTATGTTCAAAAAAAGTGTTAGGCTGAGTCTGGCAAGGTTCTCTCACTAAAAATGCATGTTTGAAAGATTAAATTCTTCTTTTCTATTCCTAAATAGTCTCATGAATTAAAGAAAGGTTCCATATAGTATTGGTATAAATAATGGAAGACCATTTTGCTGTTTTATTGGGAATTACTTTCTATATGTTCCATTTGGCTCTAGGGAAATACTGTTGTCTGTCCCGTCCAAGATGATGAGAATTACACAATTCAATTTTTTGTTTTAAAAATCATTATCAACTACTTTTCTTTGAAGAGTATACCAACTTATGGTTGTTTTAATGTACTAGTGACAGATTCAACATACAAAGCATTGATTAAAGGAGTAGAAAATGTCATTTGTTGGGAGACTGAAGACCTCTGTGTATTACAGTTAAGAGGACTTGATCATTTCCTCTGAACACCTCTTGGGGAACCAGAATTTGGTGACAGGTTGCTTTTCAGTTGATTTACTACAAGCCATTACTCCATCCACTGGTGTCATATAACACATGTAATATGGACAAACTCATCCACAAAGTTAGATGTCCCTATTTAAAATCGGATAGTAGTAACCTGTCACAGAGTTCCTGAAGACTCTCATGACCTTCCTGTTCCTGGTAATGTCTAAATACAGAGGGAGGTTTTTGTTGTTTTTTTATTCTTTATAAAGCTATGCTCTGTTTCAAAGAAATGCAGATTCAGGCAGTCCAATGATCTGCCTAACACCAAGGAATCCCAGAGGCTGTAGAAACATGATTCTCATCTGCTCATTTAACCTAAACATTTCCCACTTGGATTCAGATTTTGACACTTGCCTGGACCACCGCCCCTAACCAAAAAATGCTTTTTTGTAGAATCCTGATTTTGTTTTGCTCCTATTCCTGAAAACTTTAAAAATCATGCAAATAACTAAGAGTCTCCTCAGCTCAACATCCATGGCATGGGTTTTTATCTGCCACCAAAGTCTGCCTTCTTCATAAATGGGGAGGTCTTCTAAATGCCTCTTCATGTCACTTTCTGGTCTCCTCCTAAAGGTCAGATCAAAGTGAACAAATGTAGGCACATAAAGTTGAATGCAAAGGGGTCTAAGCGTTTTTTCAGGCCCTGTGATTGACAGCTAAGGCCTTGCACAGTGACAGTGTCACTTGAGAGACCCTACACTTTTTTTCCCAGGTTTTCTGCAGTCTCTGGTGTCACAGGGGGACAGCCCCCTGTGGTAATGCCAGGCTCCTCACTGTCAGGGGGCTAAGACCTGGACTAATTCATTGCAGTGCAATTTAATTAAACTGCACCGGAGTTGTTTCCCTGGTAAAATAAGTGTGGGAAGAGAATGTGTGTC